CTTCTTCATGGCAGGTTTCCATATTTCTTTGAGTGCCCGAGGCCCACACTTCTTGAAACCCACTCCGTGGATGCACTTGTGAATGTTTCTAGTGTATTCTCTGGTTACCACCTTGTTGATGGTGGATCATCCCTTTTCTCACTACCCTTCTTTGCAGGAGCCATTCTGCTGGAACCTGGATTGGAAAAAGCCATTCTTTCACTTTTTATCTGTCTTTATATTTAAAGTGGATTTCTTGTAGACAACATACAGTTAGGTCTTTTTTTAAATTCACTCTAACATTCTGTATGTTTATTTGGTGTATTTCAGACCATTGGCATTTAAGGTAGTTGTTGATATAGTTGGATTAATATCTACCATATTTATGTTTTCTATTAGTTGCCCTTACTTGTTTTTCTTCTACTCTTTTTCTGCCTTTCCTTGTGTTAATTAGTCTTCTTAAATGACTTTATTTTTTCTCTTTTCTTAGCATATCAACTATGCTTTTAAAATTTTTCTTTAGTTGTTGCCCTTGTGTTTGCAATGTACATTTAAAATTTGTCTAAGTCCTCTTTAAAGTAACATTATACTACTTTACATATATAGTATAGGGACCTCATAACAGAGTGTTCCCATTTCCTCCCTCCCATCCCTTATAACATTGTTACTCATTTCATTTATCCACAAGCTATAATCACTGAATGCATTGTTACTATTTTGAACAGACTGTTAACTGTTTGGTTGATTAATAATAAGAAAAATAAAGATTTTATTTTGCTTTCATTCTTTTCTAACACTCGTTATTTCAATCTGAGAAAATATGATTTTCTTTCTTTTTGAAGAAGTTAGCCTTTGGCAAGACAGATCTACTGGTGACAGATTGCTTCGGTTTTTGTTTGTTTGAGGACATTTTTATTGCTCCTTTACTTTTGAAGGATAATTTTCCTCGGTATGGGATTTTACGTTGATAGGTTTTTTTTCTTTCAATACTTTAAATATTTCATTTCACTCTCTTAATTACTTGTGTAGTTTCTGTGGAGAAGTCCAGTATGCTTTTTATCTTTGTTAGTGTAAGGGTAACGTTTTTTTTTCCTGGCTTCTGTCAGGATTTTCTTTTTGTCTTTGAGTCTCAGCAATTTGAATATATTATACCTAGGTGTAGATATTTTGATACTTACCTTCCTTTATGTTCTTTAAGTTTCCTGGATCTGTGGTTTGATATTTATCATATGGGGAAATTTCATTATTACTTCTAGTATTTCTTCTGTCCTTTGTTTCTCTCTCTCTCTCTCTCTCTCTCTGTCTTTCTCTCCCCAGCTCTCTTTTTGTTTCTAATATTTCTGTTTACTGCATGTTGTAATCGTCCCACATTTTGCTTTGAAAGTTCCTATAGACATACCTTCAAGCTCACCGATTCTTTGTTCACCTGTGTCTTGTATGTTGCTGAGCCCTTCAGAAACATTATTTGTATTACAGTGTTTTTGATTTCTAGCATTTCTTTTGGATTCTTTCTTAGGATTTCCATTGTTCTGCTTACAGTACTACTTGCATGTTTATTTTTTCCTTGTATGTTTATTTTTTTCATTAGAGCCCTAGAATATTAATCATGGTTGCTTAAAGTTCCTGGTGTGATAATTCCAATTTCTCTGCTTATCTGATCTGTCTCTGATGCTTGCTTTTTCTCTTCAGACTGTGTTTTACTATGCCTTGTAATTTTTTGTTGAAAGGCAGACATGATGTATTGGATCAAAGGAACTGAGATAAATTGCCTTTTATGTAAAGTTTTATGTTTATCTGGCTCGCAGTTAGCTTGTGCTTACTGTTTGCTGAAGCTGTGTCAGAGGCTAAGATTTCCTCCCCTGTTGTCTTCCGGTTTCCCCGGAAACTTATTAAATAAGGTCTGAGATGTACAGTTCTTTCAGTTGTTGCCCCTCTTATTATATGTATGGTGGTAAGTTAGTGGGTGGGAGGGAGTGTTCTATAGTCCTATGATTTGGCCTGTTTTTTTAGTGAGCCTGTATCCTTCAGACATATTTGTCAAGTTTTCTTATTTTTTTTTTTGCCGTGGTAGAGATATACTGGATTTATTCAACCATTTCTCTCTTGATGGGCACTCAGTTTTCCCCATCCTTTTCCCATTACAAACAGTACTACTGGAAATGGGCTTACACATGTGACCTTGCATACTGGTGCTATTATTTCCTTTGGTTTTCTTCTGAAAGTGGTATATCTGAGTCAAAGGATAATATTTTCTTTGTCAGCTTCCTTTGTCAAAAAATTACAGCAGTGTACGAGTTTTTTTTCATTTGGACATCAGTGGATATTGTCAGTCTGATAGGTGAGAATGGTTTCTCATTGTCTCTTTGCTTAGTACTTTCCTGATCACTAGTGAGTTATGAAATATGTTACAGTGTTTACTGTTTTGATTTTCTGTGTTCATTCATTTCCTTGTGACATGACATGTCTTTCATTTGGGTTATTTGTTTTTTCCCTATCAATTTGTATATTAGGCGTATTATTAGTGTTTTAAAATTTTTATTTGTTTTCTGTGTAGAAGAGTCAGAAAATGGCAGCATAAGAAGAAAGTAAAAATCACCCCTCTGCTTACACAGAGATAGACTGCTCTTAGAATTTGATATTGGACATTTTTCTAAGCATATGTATGTATATAAATCCCTACCAAAATGAAATTTTACTTGACATGCTATATTATAAAAAATATTACTACATATGATTTTATTAATATTTAAATACAATGTAGGAAAAAAGATATCAGGCAATAGAAAACTGTTTTAAAATGCAGGTGATGACCTCCTAAATTGATTTCATGACTCATAGTTCGAAAATGTAGCCTAAAACTATATAAATATGTAACTGTGATAAAACTAAAAACAAATTAAAAATATAGGAATAATAAATACATCCCTTAATACAGGGTAATTTGAATGCCGTCTTAATTTTTCATTTAATTTTATTTCAAGCATTAAAAATTCAGTGTTATTGATTTTTTGCCTGTTTATTTTATTTTTCTAAATCTGCTGACAGTGTTTTCAGCCATGCAGTAATTTTTATTTTTTACTTAGTTATATTATCAGTCTTTCCCCCTTATTGCATCTTCATTCTCTCTAGTTAGGAAAAGTTTTCTCTACCCTGGGGTTATTAAGGAATTTATTTTTTTTAAATACTTCCATGGTTTTAGTTTTTGTATTTTGGACTTGTTCATTTGCTTTTTTTGCTGGATATACTATGAGAAACACGCCAGTTTTATCTGGCTATTCATTTTCCCCATGTTACTGATTAATAAGTCAGTCTCCCCCCACCCCCCGAATTGATATGCTGTCTTTATCATTTACTAAAGTTCTGTATGTACCTGAGTATATTTCTGAATTTGTTTTATTGCATGTTCCTTTACCGATATCACGCTTCTTAGTTCTAGAAATTCACTGTTCTGTCTTAAATTGTCTAGGCCTGTAGAGCGTAGTGCCCATCCCCCCTTCCTCTTTCAGGTGTTTACATTGCTATTCTAACTTAGTTATTTTTCGATGTGATATAACATCAACTTATCCAATTGTAGGGGAAAAATGAGATTTTTTTTTAAAGATTGAGCTTTGTTTAATTTATAAATTACTTAGAGAAAATCAACATCTTTATCATGTTGAGCCTTCTTATCTGAGAATGTATCCATTTTTTTATATATAATTTTCTGCCTTTTAAGAGTGTTTTATAATTTATCTTTGAAGGATTCTAAACTTTTCTTAAATTAGATAAATTAGAAATGGGTACTTCCTTTTTTTTTTCTTTTAATGATAGTTATATTAATGACTGCTGTGCTTTTTGTGCTATTTTTCTAAATTGTCACAGCTTTTAACAATTTTTTAATTGAATGTTTGTGTCCTTTTCAGAGACCAAAAGTTCTTGTCTTCTGCATATAGAGATCATTTTAGCTCTCTTATTTTAATTCTTTGACCTGTAATTCAGTACTGTCTAATAGAAATAGAATTTAAGACATTTTAATTTAAAATAATCTGTTAGTCTCATTTTTAAAAGTCTGTTAATTTTAATATTTTATTTAACCCAGTATATCAATAGATTATTTCAGTATGTAACCAATAAAACAAATTATTGCGATATTTTATATTCTTTTTCAGTTACAGTAAGTTTTTGAAATCCACTGTATGTTTTATACTTCATGTACATTTGGCTTTTTCATTATAGGCTACTACAAGGTACATTAGCTCAGCTTTTAATTAGGAACTGATGGTGAACTTTCTTTAGATGATTTTTTTGGCATATGTGATAGCCTTTTTACTTGGAAAGATAGATATATTGAATTTATTAGCTTTTCCATTCTTGAGTTGATAAACTGCCTGGTTGAGATGTTTGTAAATATAGCTTAGGATTCAAAGTTTCATTTAGGATTTTTGAATCTCTCATATGTATGTTGTGTATGTGCTATGTGCTCTTTTAGCTTTTAGTAGTAGGATTAATAAACTGGTTTTATAAAATAAAGTTGTAATTTGTATGCTTTCAAATGCTCTGGAGCTACATAAACAGAATTAAAATATATGTTTATTGAAGACTTAATACAAGTCATCTGAAGTCCAACGGGGCCCAGACTCTTTTTTTATTAAAAGCAATTCTTGTAATATGTTTACATTTTCTTTGATGAATTATACTGATTTTATTCAGCTTCTGCTGAGAGATAATTTGTTCATGTGTAAAAACAGCTAAGAATTTATTTTGCATTAGTCATATCTGGAAACTAAGTAATGTGGAAATCAGCAGTGTTAATTTTATATCATAGCAGTTTCCTTTAGGAGAAGAAAACTGGTTAGGATATTTCCTTAGGATGTTATTGATACTAAATTCAAAGAGATGAGGATGAATGTTATTAAATGACAAAGTAGCAGTTCTTTTCAAGGATTAATTTTTTCCCCAGCATTTTATTTTGTAAAAAATTTGAACCTATAGATAAGTTGTAAGAATAATATCTTTAATGTATTAATTATTCTTATTCTTAGGTGCATTTTATCTGGTGTTTGAATATATGGACCATGACCTGATGGGACTACTGGAATCAGGCTTGGTTCATTTTAATGAAAATCACATAAAGTCATTTATGAGACAGCTCATGGAAGGTCTGGATTATTGTCATAAGAAGAACTTTTTGCATAGAGATATTAAATGTTCAAATATCCTTCTAAATAATAGGTATGATATGTGTTTGATATATATGTTTAAAATGAGTATTATATAATATGTACCTTGATTCTGTTCAGAAGATTTAAATTTTAGCTTTTTATTGCTCACACTATTTTATCATAATCAATATTACAGCTTGGGCTATATCTGAAGTTGTGTTAAATATACTTTCGTTAATTAACTTCCAATAATTGTTTGTAATGTACATAAAATAATACTTAGTTAGCTTTCCTGTTTGATATTCTTCCAAATAATGTGAATAGTTCTTCTAAAAAGTAACAGTATGATTTCAGCTTTAAGTTAAGAACAGATTTTAGAATTCTTTTTTAATTGGAATTTTTTTTAAAAACAGTCATCACAGTTTTAAAAGTGAACTTTTTTGAAGTGTGTGTATGCATGTGCATACATATATATGTTAAAATTTATGTTAAATATTTTACTGACAGCATAACCTGAATTCTGATAATTCTGTTGTAGTTGGTGCTGTGTTAAAGTGAGGCATGCCTAGTCCCGATTTTAGTTAGTAGAAAGTGTTCTATAGAGCACCTAGCCACTTTAAGAACTGGAAAACTAAACAAATTTAAAATGACGTGTTTCAGTTCTTATGCATTATTGGCTGGAGTTGAACAAGTAGTTTGTCTTAGTAGTAGAAGTTATCTCATTTTGTTTTATTTTCATTGAAGTGTACTTTTCTAGACAGGAACTGAATAGTATTGAAAAACTGTTATACCAGTGCTAGATACTATATATAGTAATAATAGTACTAGTATAATAGTAGCTGGAAGTATCTGGGGGGGAGGGTACAGCTCAAGTGGTAGAGCACATCCTTAGCATGCATGAGGTCCTGGGTTCAGTCCCCAGTACCTCTTCTAAAAATAAATAAATCTAATTACCTCCCCTCCAAATAAAATAATTAAATAATGCTGTAATAAAAAAATAAATAAAATATTTTAAAAAAAGAATCCAAAGAAAAGTACTAATTTTTTACCTTATACTGTTGTGAATTTATCATTTGCCTTTTCCTGTAAGACCTTGGGTAATACAGTATAATCAAAATTAAGGTTTATATAAGTGAATTTTTGATTAGTTCTAGGAGTAGAATATGAATGTATATGATCAGTTCAGAGTAGACTAATACTTTTTGTTTATTTTATCTTCCACCAGAGGGCAGATAAAACTTGCAGATTTTGGACTTGCTCGATTGTATAGCTCAGAAGAAAGGTAAGAATACTTTCAAATGACTGTTGTAGACATTAGGGACCAGTTTTAGAGGCTATATTAAGAATACCTTATTATTAGTTTATTTTTTAACAAAAGGGAAATTTTCTCTTCATGGTTTTAAATACATGAAATAATGAAGTTTTACACCATATTGGGTTGACTGTTTTAATTACAAAATTTTATACATTAAATAATCTAAAAATAATAGTTTTTTAATACTTAGAGATAAATATTTCTTTTAAAATGTGCCATTTTAAATGTATCTTTGGTGAACTTAGTGGTTTTTAAAAATTAATACTTAAATTTCTAATGCAGATTCAGACATTAAGATATTTATAATTTTTGTTTAATGAAAAACCTTAGTAAATGCTTTCTATATTACATGTTTATGCTTACAGATTTTGTTTTAATTATTATTTTGGACTTCCTTGTCAAGTTTTTTTTTTTTTTTACTATAGTTCTGTTTACAGTTGTGTTTGTTTTAAATTCCCTAGAATCTTATATTTAAACAAACTATTGTGAAGGAGCTCAGTGTGTAACTTCTTTGTGTGGAGCTTCTCTGGCTAAAGTGGGGATGTGTACACTTTTGGCTCTTTTTGTGCCTAGTGATAGCGAAATATGACTTGCCTAACTAGAGTTATTCTTAGAAGAATAATACAGAATTTCAAAGTAAAATATTTTTGTGAAGTAGTGAGTAAACTATGGAGTTAACTGGGTTTAATATCCCTAGTTCGTTCCTTTCCTGTCAGCAGTGTTTACTTACATATACATATATATATATATAATTCTGAAATGCTTATGTATGACAGTTTATTTAGGGTAACCATAATTGAATATACTAAAATACCAGTTAATTGACATTACTAGAAATAGGTATTTACTTTTACTGAATCTTTGCCACTTTCTGGTTTGTTGGAAAAAGAATCCCCTTTTTGGATTTTTTTAGAGTGAAAAATCTGTTTTTTTTTAAATCTTGTAGTGCCTGTGACATCATTCTGAAAATTATTTTCATTGTTTAGTGTTTAGGTTTTTAAATGGTGTGTTTTGGATACGTGGCATTCTGTTAACTCAAACTAGCTTGGACAGGTTGTTACGGACAGGGCTCCAGTCCTCTTTACCTACTTTAGCCAGAGCTTTTCTGCCTTTATTTGTTTTGCCTCCTACGCTTCTACTTGACATTTTATTTTAAGGAGGAGTTGTACATTTTTGTTTGTTTTAAGTTGTTCTAGAGCTTAAAAGCTATAACCCTCATTTTACATTTGAGAAAACAGACCCAGAAAGGGTTGAGTGACTTTAAAGATCAAAAAATATTTGTTGGCATCAAGAGTATATAGCTCAAAGTTTCCAAGTCCCAATTTTTTATTCTTTCCATCATATATAATAGTGCCTCTTGATAGAAATTGAAGGAAAAAAGTAATTGGCTCGTAAGTATACTTAATCCAAAACTTTCCTTGAAGTATACTTTTTGAATGACTAAATTTCAGTGACTATTCTTGAGGGGGAAATTCTGCTTGATAAGGATTCTGTCTGCTTAGTTGGTTAACTGAGATTTCACTGTAGTGTGGTCATCCTTTCTTAACACAAGTATGTATCTGTCAGACTGTGACTACAAGTCCCTTTCTTCTTGCTTTCATGTTAGCTTTCAGTGGAGATGGAGAACAGCTAAATTACCATTTTCCATCTCATGGATTCTTTTTATGCAGATATTTGTTCACATTGGAATACATATGTTCCGGAAAAACTGACTGTAAAGCCAAATTTTATATATTAAAATCTATTTTCTTACTGATTTTTTTCTTTTATAATGAAATGTTGAGTTTCAGTGGAGTGTCAGGGATGTGGTGTGTTCATTGAGCCATGGTCCCCATTGCCTTGCTGAATTGATATAGGAGGTTTCAATTTACACAAGTAGGAAATTAAAAATCCCATAGCTTTGCATCTTCAGGTAATGTATACTGGATTTTTCTGCTTAATCAAACTTGTAAGTTAAAAATTTGGGATATCATTTTGTTTTATAAACAAATATCCTATCCTTCAGGGTTATGTACTTTAAAACTTCTCTTTTTCACATTCGAATAATTCCAGTTTCTTTAAAATCAGAGAATTAGGCTTAATTTAAGGCAATGACTTTAAAATTACATATATTGTTCAGTAAATTTTAATAACATACTAATTCTAACATAATGAAAATCACGCCTTTAGCAGATTCACTGTATTGCCCCAAATTTTCTAGATATTTCTTGAAATAAACATACAGAAAGTAATTTTCATCCATATTTCTTTCTTAATATAAGCAGAAAGAAAGGTACAACTTTACCATCCAAATGTTAAGTCACTTTGAAGTACTTTTTAAGTAATAACAGATAGGATGACTGAAATATTCAAGAAATTATTACAACGTTTTTTGATCTAAAGCAGAGCAGATTTCAGCTTATCACTGTAATGGCATCAACCACATCTCTCACTTATTTGATTTGGTTTATCTTTTGGAATTTGAGGAAAACAGGTTGGAAGAACAGCTAGTATGTAGGAATTGAACATGATGGGTGGTAATGTGTGACCAGTATGGATCTCCTCTGTCTTGTGTGCCACAGTAGAAGAAAGGAGAAGCAATGGGCTAAAATTGGGGGGTAAATGATTCCTTTAAACTTGAAGAATCATTTTCTCATTTTGAGTATCAGTGTTCATATTTTGTCCGGTGGGGCCTTGGGAAATATAGAACTTGAGAACAGAGATTTTTGCCCCATTTCTTCGTATCTGTTCAATTTTTAATAGGTGTTTTAGGTCCAACTTTCCCTGAGACTTTCAGCCACAATGATATACCCTTTTCTGAGGTTTTTTTTTTTTTAAATCAATTCTTTGCTCCAGTGCTTTTCCAAATAATGAAATATCTTTTTCTTTTTATGTGACTGTCTCATTTGAAAAAATATGCACTTTCCACGTACGTTGAAATTGATTTCACTTTCTAGAGAAACTATAACTAGGCATATTTACTTTTTTAATGCAAGGAACTCAAAACCCTTAGGTTTAAATCAGGAAACTTTGCCTCTATTTCTGGTATTGCCATTTTATCAGTTGTGGAATATTGGGCAAGTCACTTAATCTCTCTGTATCTCATTATTCTCAACTTTAGGATGATGGATTTCAAATGTCTAAAATCTTTATAGTATGTTGAAAAACACATCTTTCATGGTTCTGAAAATTTCTGTGAATTAAATAGTTTCTTAAACATTTTGAAGGCAATTTCGCCATCTAGTGGCTTTTTATAAAATTGCCATTAAAAACAAAACAGTTTTCTCAAGCCTATATGGGTGTGAATGGGAGAGAGAATTACCTCTTCTTACTTGTCTAAGGACTAGATGAAATTATACTCAGTATTAAAATTGCCTCCTTAGTACTGGTCTTATTACTTGTGTTCTTGTCTTTTCACCAGAGCTAGAATTATGGTCATTTTAAAGAAAGGGATCATGTTTAAAATTTTGTGTTTTAAGTGTTCTGAACCATAAAACACATACATAGTAACTGCTTGATTAATTCTGATTTGAAAGAAGGCCATCCTGATCTGGAGGAAGAGGATCTTCTGGGAGCCCTAGGACAATATTGGAACCGTGGTAGTAAAAAGATCACTAAAATCATATGAACAACAATAAGTAATGTGACTAAACAAGCTTCTGGAATGGAAGTCTCATTTAGATCACTGACCTGATTATATTTGTATTTCCTTTGGCCCTAGTGGAGTTGCTTACATTTTTGAGTGTATAAAATGGGAAAGACAGTTTAATTCTTAGGGAACAGTGTTTCCCCTCCTTGTGTAGGGGAAAGTCTCATCCATCCCGTTAACGCTGAGGATTTACAGATCTCAGTTTCGAGTCTTGATTTTTCTTCTGCTCTCTAAACCTGTGTTTACTGGATTTACCTAGGTGATCTCGGTACCTTAAATTAAACATAGTGTTACACAGCCTATCTTTACCTTCTCCAGAAAAAGCCTGTTGTTTTCCTTTATTCCCTGTTTTGGTTAAAGGTATCTAGTCACTGGCACATATAGATATGTCTTGTATAGACAACTGGAAATAGAAGTTAATTGGTTTTCCTGCCTCTGATCTTTCTTCCTAACATTTTTTTCTCAACTATTTATTTCTCAACTTCTACTGCTGTCCCCAGATAATAGCAGTGTTGAACTATTTGTAGTTCCCTAACCAAGCTGAGCTCTTAAATGCCTTTGTTGTTTGCTTTTGTATGGAATTATACTTCCCATTACTTCAGTTTCACAGATTTGGCTTTTCCCTTCAGTATGCATGCAGTTTGGGCATTACCTGCTTTGAAATCTGCCCTGAATCCCACAGGCAACATTGGGCATATCTTCCTTTATGTATCCAGAGTACATTATTTATTATTTTATGTAGTGCTTAGGGTATATTATTATAATTTATATCTATATTACCACCACAATTTAAGGCTCTTAACAGCTATACCGATGGTTGATTGACTGTTTGGTCCAGCCACCTGTTAGTGCTTAGATAGTACAATGCCTAGGTCAGAGTTTCCATAAATATTTGTTGTAAAAAAAAGAACAAACTTACCTGGAATTTGTGCATGGTACTTTATTGTATATAGTCCCCTTTCACAAGTTATTCTAAGGGAAAGCAGTCTTCCGACTGAAGTTTAGAAAATTTAAGTTTATTTCCAAGATCGCACAATCAGTAAGTGGTGGAGCTAAGAATTAAACTTGGCTCTTTTGACAGAAAGGCTGTTTATTTTCATTATACTGAAACCTGAAACTTATACTGGACCTAAAACTTCCCCGGTAGGACTCTGGATCCAACCTTGATTACCTAAAAGCTATCTTCCAGGTGGAGAGCTCCAGGGGCCTCTCAGGTCTGTTTTGGAGGGACTGTTAGGTGGATGGCAGTTTTTGTTTAGAACTCTGTGGTAGCAAGTAGCCTGGGCTTCACTGTCTCTGCTCTCTCTTACCCATCAAATACTATATTTTATTTTTGCCA